AAACTCTCTTCTCAAGCTGTTTCCTGACAGCTTCAGCTCTCAGGTGGCTCCTGGGTTGTTTACGGCCAGCTCTTGTGATGTGATGAGCAAGGTGTTTCTGCTGGGAGCAAGCACGCCACTAGGCTCACTGACTGAAAAGATGTAGAGGAAGAGGTATTGTGAAAATACAGAATATTTTCAGGGACAAGAAAAGTAAAATGATGTGTTTCCCTGGTTAGTTCTAGTTAAGTCTACTGCACAATCAAACAAGTGCAACCGCTGTCCCAGTGACTGGGTGAGAAGGGGTGTAGTCACCCTGGGCACATACCCGCAAGTGGGAAGGAAACAGACCAAGGGCAGTCACTTTTAATGGCACCTCTCCACTGATGCATCTTCTGTACAACTCTTTCTTCCTGTCTAAATGTGACATGAGCATCTCTGTGGCTAAGTCCCATGAGCCCAGGTGGAGAGGAGAAAATTGTTTCTAGAGTCAGGGTAGTGACAGCTGAAAGACTTGTGATCCACTGGAAACTTTCCTAAAGAGCTGATATTCAAAGGATGTTTCCAAAACCACCACAGCACTTGTCTTTGTCAGGACACGTTCTTAACAACAGAGTACTGGTATTTGAGTTTCCCATTACAGAAAATGTTACTTGCCTTATAGATTAAAAGTAACCAGTTCTTGTAATAATAACAGTAAACAGTATTACTGCTTCCAGCTGTTTTAAAAAATGTGTCTAACTCAAAATTGGAAAATTGGGGAACCCCTTTCCTCCAATCTAGTTTAGATGTGCTTTGCATTTGAGAAACTAGGACTACATACTAGCTATTGCAAAACAGAACTAACCTCATTGTATAGTGCAGGTATGAAGTCAAGGGATCTCGTGGCCCTCACCCAGGAGATGGAGAGATGGGGTAACACATAAAACCCAAAATAAAATGGCTTTTGCGAATGAAAAAACGCATTTGGAACTCTCTGGTTTGTTGTTGTTGTTTTTTTTTTTTACAATGTGCCAAATATTTAACATGAAAACAAGGTTGCTGGAAGTAGCAGTGACACAGAAAGCTGATACTATGGCACTGCATGTGCAGAGACAGGCAGAGATGAGCGCGATCACCCCCTGTGCCCACTGACAGCTGCAATTTCTGTCCTCTCCTTCCAAATACGCACTGATGGGTGTGGTGTGGTATTTGGGCAGGTCTCCACATCCCTTTACTTTTACAGAAGGCATGAGGAACTCAGAATGATGCTTCATCAGCGCAGTTAAGATGGTAATAACTCAACCACCAAGGCTATTTATGCCTTTTAGTTCTGCCTTTGAATTGAGGGTGTTCAGAGAAGTGATGGGGGATGTGCAGCAGGAGTATGGCAACAAAAGGTAATAGCTGGAATTGCTGCATTATTTGTCTCTCAAGCTACAGTTGCAAATGTCTAGTATTCATGAAGTGGGATCATATTATCGGACAACAATGGAATACTAAAACCAGCAAGAGACCTATTAAAATAAAATAATTGAACTGAGCTGCATTCCACTGAAATCAAATAGCTGAAGAACACATCTTTCATTTGATATGTGTCTTAGAGGGGAAAAAAAAAGTGGTTACTAACAGCAGCAGTATTTAACGATCTTTTAAATCATCTTTTGGAAAACTACCTTATTGTTTTGATCTGAAACATCGTTTAAAGTAATATCCACCTCCACAGAATCCCTTGAGGCAATTATTGGCCTTTCTGATCTTGCCTTGCTGTATTAGTTCTGCCTATATGTTGGCTTTATGCAAGCTTCCAGAAGCAATTTTCCTCAGAGAAGAAAATGCATAAATCCTTGAAGGTTAACTTGTGAGAACTCTTGCTTTGCTGGATGCCTAAGGAATTTCAATTGCCTTCTGAAACCATCCTGTCACTTAAAAAATGACCCCCTGAAGTCCCAAGCAATCACTCTGCCTGTGAGTCATGTTTTCTCTCCCTTTCAAAGTATATATCAAGGTATAGAGTTCTCTTTAGTAGGGAAGTATTGCTTTGCCCCCATTGCTTTTTGTAATTATCCCTGCCTAACATCACATACTGTCTTCTGTGACCATTCTGCAAGTAATGTGTTGTACCAAACTGAAGTTCTCAGTAGAGAGGAAAGCAATTTTATTTTTTTTAAAATAAACCTCCTATTTTAGCCCTCTGGTTTATCAAGTTATATAAATCTATGTTTGTATTTCTGAAGTCCAAGGAAGCATTGTCCATTTACTATGTCCTCCTGAAGTAAAAGAATGAATGATTCCCCAGTGTAATTTGAAGGAGCAGGCTTTAATATAAAGAAAAGCATCTTTCTTTTCCCTCCCTCACCCACACTGCAGTTGGGGTATGGAGCTTGCTGCCACGGCATGTTGTGAACATGAAAAACACACAGGGGCTTAAAAAGTTAAATAGAGCATCTAATGGAGAAGAGGTGAACCAGTGCTAATGGGCAGTGGTCCAGAGAGAACTTTTGGTTCAGAAATACCTTTAGCTGATGGTGGCTGGGAGAAGGAAGGGATTACAGTGTGTGTGTGTGTGTGTCCTGCCTCTGGGTTTAGGAAAAGGGTAGCTCCTACTCGTCACTCCTAGAGATAGGGAATGGATTAGTTTTGTCTGTCTTTGTGCAGCTTCCTTCTGTTTTTACTAACCGTGTTGATTAGAAGCCTTATTGCAAATATGATTTCGTTCTGTATTTTTCTGTTGATGGAGATTCTGCTGGTGGAGATGTTTAAATATAAATAGTACACTGCTCTGAAAACCCAAACCCTGTTATTTGATCAATAATCTTGGATAGTTTTCTGTGATTATACAACGCTGCAGTAAAGGTGACTGACTGCCTTCTTGCTGTTAGTCCGCCAGCTTCAACAGCAGGCAAAACCTGCAACCCCCGTAGCGCATCTCAAACTGCTCCTGCTCAACGCTCCCCTGTGGCACATGTGACAAACACAGGCAAGAGGGGAAGTGACTGATGTCCAGGGCACTAGAATTAAAGTTTTCAAGCATTAACTGCAAATCTGAAGCTTTCGGTATTGTTGGAAAACGAGCGTAGGCCCTTCCTTTTGCTCTTAGCTTCTTAAGTGGCTCTTGGTTGTTCGTCCCTGCCTCAGTGCTTTCCCATCTTCTTTCTTTCTCTACCTTTTCCTATGTCCTCTTGTAGGTATAACAACAGTGGCAATCTCTGTGCCAGGGTTTGCAGCTAGGGTCTTAAAATGTCAATATTCTGCATGTGCTGGGCTGTGACTGAAACTTAATTGATGGGTGTCCCTTTGTGTGTGTATACTCAGTATATAAAGGATGAGGGAATAATATTTAAAACTGAACCCAGCCTTCTGGAACTCAGTTGGTCTGAATTTCCCTGATGCTTATCCTAACTGTGCTTAATTGTACCGATACGAGTAATTTGCTTATCCAGGTATTTTTCTGTAAAGTGAAGAAAACACAATCTTTGATAGTGTTGAGATTGAAACCTATGGTTTTGGCCTTATTGGATTTGCTAAGGCTATAGCCACCATTAAGTGCTCACATTCTAGAAATAAATTTTTATTAAGCAAGCCTGCCAAAAAATGAGATTAAGAAATATTTATTGTGCAGAATAAATTTACGTAAAGTGAGAAACAGTGATTTTTTTTTTTTTACTACTTCTTATTGGAGAAGCCTTAACCATGGCACTGCTGTTAATGCCTCAGTAAAAGCCATAAACCTTTTGAATGAAAATGTGGCTGCTGTTCAAAAATGGCTCAAGCTGCAATTTCATGGTTTATGTCATCAAAGCCCACCAATTGAATTAAATTCTTTTACCAACTTCGAGCTGCTTATTTCCCTATACGTTACCTTTCAGAACAATACCTAAGAGCTGTCCTAGATAACTTAGGGGCTTGCTAGCATGTTGTGAAGTGAGTCTGGATCACTTTTTCCCAAATCCCAGCTGGGCTGGTAGCAGCTTTTTTACACTATTGGTTGATGACTGCAAGGTGCACTGGTGAAGTTCAGGGTAGAATGTGCCTGAAAACATGTAATTTTTTCTCTTGACTTCTTCCACCATCAGAAGAATTTACTCCTGGTCATGGTGAGAGATTAGGGGACACACTCAGCTGTGTGTAAGTTCCCATTCCGTGGGAGAGTTGGCTTCTACTGTTGCCTTTTGGAACAGGGGGAGCACTTGAAGCCTCACTCTCTCGTTTTCTTTTATTTCTTCACATGGAAAGGACAAAGGAAGCTTTAGTTCTTCATTTATAAACATAGTGATTTAGCTACAACATAATGAGTTTTATGCTGACCTCCATTCAAACAAGTTTTGTTGGATGTTTGTTATTTTGTGTTAAATGACTGATAGAATTCCTGAGGAATGCCTGGAAAACTGCCTCGAGTTGTCACTAGGACGACGCTCCAGAGAAACACCCAGTGTGGTAGAATCACTGCAGAAGATTTTGCAAAGTGGTGAATCAAAGCTTTTCACAGATTTAGGGCATTTCCCTCCCCCCTCCGCTCCTCCCCCACACATTTCTTCTAATCTAAGCTACTTTGTAGCACTTGAGAAAGTAAATGTAATAGCTGTCAGTCATTTTTCTTTTAAGAAAATTAGGGAAGATCAAAAAATTTCAAGAAGTCTGTGTAATTTGAATTCAGTGGTATGAGATGCTTACGTCTGTGATTTTAGAGTATTGTGGCCTCGATATATATGAATGAGAACAAAATTGGATGTTTTTATATGGTGCTTAAGTAAATGAGACAACGACTATTCAGTAGGCAAAATAATTTCACAAAGTAATGAAAATGAGTAGTAATGACTTAATAGATGGGTCATTTTGGAGGATATTTTTTCTTTCTTCAGTTATGACTACTTTTAATTAGCATCCGTTTTAGGCTATTTGTTCTTGAGCTACTTTTCAGGGAGATTGTGTTTAAGGATAAATGGCCTGCTGTGGTGTGGTGGATAAAAAGAATGTACCTGTAAAGCAGAATATAACAAAGTAAGAGTTGTAGCCTAGATAACTATATCTATTTTACTTCTCTTTCCTTAGCTGTGTATGCCCAAAGGGCTGTCTTTCAGGACGCAGACAGATAACAGAGATCCACAGCTCCATTCGTTCATCATCACCAGGGAAGATGGCTCTCGTACATACGGGTTTGTGCTCACGTTCTACGAGGAGGTCACAAGCAAGCAGATCTGCACGGCCATGCAAACGCTCTACCAGATGCACAACGCAGAGCAATACAGCAGCGTCTGCGCCTCCTCCTCATGCAGCATGGACTCCCTGGCCAGCAGCATTGACGAGGGCGACGCCACGTCCCTCGCCAAGCTCCAGCGGTACAACTCCTACGACATCAGCAGAGACACGCTCTACGTCTCCAAGTGCATATGCCTCATCACCCCTCTGCCCTTCATGCAAGCCTGCAAGAAGTTCCTGATCCAGCTCTATAAGGCGGTGACCTCCCAGCAGCCACCACCCCTGCCCCTGGAGAGCTACATCCACAACATCCTCTACGAGGTGCCCCTGCCACCCCCGGGCAGGTCGCTGAAGTTTTATGGGGTTTACGAGCCCATCATTTGCCAGAGACCCGGGCCCAACGAGCTGCCGCTGTCTGACTATCCGCTGCGGGAGGTCTTCGAGTTGCTGGGCCTGGAGAACCTGGTTCAGGTTTTTACCTGTGTTCTTCTGGAGATGCAGATCCTTCTGTACTCACAAGGTAGGCACTCGTCTGGCCACACACGTTGGGTCTCTGTTCCCCATGGGCAGTTTCTGGGCAGCTGCAGCCACGGGAGCTAATGCAAAGCTGTTGATTTGTGAAAAGTGAGAATGTAATGAAAAATCATGAGAGAAGTGAGTCTGTCCTAGTGAAAGCACTAAATAATTGTTTCCTCCAGGCAGTCTAGGTGCCGCTTATTTAATTATGCATTGTATTTATCACGTTTGACAGCTAGCAATAGAATTTGCTTAATTATTATGCTTACATTGCCCTAGATCATGCTGCAAGACAGTGTGAAACTAATCCTATCTTTTGCAAAAATACCAGCAGAAAAGTAATATGTCTTGCAGAAGACACGCTTGCTACTTACTTTTTCAAATTTCAGCAGCGTTACTGAAGTTTGGTGAGATTTCCTCTCTCCCGTGTGATGAATGCATTCTGGTTAAAGCACTGAGAGTTTTCTAGCACTGAGAGGCAGAAGTTTTAGAGCTGATATGGAACTGGAGTTACAAGGTATCCCTTTGTAGTCCTGCTTGAGATATTTGGGAACTTTTCTGATGGATGCTGCTGGTACTTTTGGAGACACTTAGAACTGCAATTGGCAAAAGCTATCTACATCTGCAGAAGTTGCTTGCACAGAGCCTGTCCATGCTGAAGCACACCAGCAAGCTTTTGAAAATCTGTTACCTTTTCTCTTCTGGTTGTGTCATTCTGCAATAGTGCAGTACTCTGCTATGAATTTTGGGAATCTTGAATCAGCACTGGGCATGTTCTGAGCTTTTACACCTCTATTACTCTTTCCGATATGATGTTGGTTGGTGTGAGTTTGGCCCTTGGTGCTTATTCCAATGCCAAAAAAGTATGTGCTGCAACTGTTAAAACACACAGCAGTGCCCCAGCAAGTTGAGTTCACGTTCCTGCTG